GAATTCTGGGAGTTGAAGTCCACACATCTTAAAGTTCCCAAGGTTGAGAAACACTGTTCTGGACACTCTACAGCTCCCTCTCTTTTGTCTGGAGGACTGACTGGGTGGCACTCCTGCTCCAGTTAGTGCTTTGTGCAACATGGATGGCCTTTAACCATTTTGGGTGTGCTGTGTAAACCCAGCCACAAAGGCTGTGCTTTCAGCTAGCAAGTGCCTTCCACTGGTGTACAGGTCCTGCTTACGCATCCTTCTCCTACACTTATGGAGGGCTCCGGGGTTAAGACATTGTTTTAACTCTGTTCGATTCAGGACATTTGCCTTAAAATTAATTTTAAATTCAATATTTGCTGTGGTCCAACCTCATCCGCTATCCTGGCCTGCTGGCCGAGGACCACATCTGGCTTTTGACCCCCAAATTTGCTCATCATATATTGGGGATGTTGACCGCCCAAGGTCTGGACCTGCTCCTCCACCGTTGGGGGTAAATGTAAGCTGGGTTTTCCACTCATGCTGGCTGGCTGTGAACCCACACCCCCTTTTCCCAGAGGCCCTGTGCAGTGGAAGGTCAAGGGAAGAGAGAATAACTCTTACACTGAAGGAATAGTGCTATTTCACAAGGGCTCCCTGGATTTGTAGCTTCAGTCATGGTTCCAGTGGTCTCCTGGCTGGTTCAGCTCAACCATCCTTCCGCTCAGTGGGGCAGAAGCCTTCCGGAACGCCCCCGTCTCGCCTTCGGGTGTCCCAACACATCCTCCTCTTCCAACCCTCCTCTCCATTCCCTGAGCTGGTTCACAGAGAAATTCCAGGGGGTTGTGGCTCTGCCCTTCTTTGTGGCACTGGTGGAGTTTTCTGCATCTGCCCTGTGGCTTTTCCCTCTCCTGAGCTCTCCTGGATGTAAAAATCCCTGGGAACTGCGGATCTAGGTCAGCAAAGCAGCGCTGCTGCTATGGGCCTCCGTCTTGGGCTGTAGGGCGTTGCTTCGTGTCACCTGGGTGCCCCCTGGCGACTGGCTTTGTAGTTACAGCTGTCGTAATCCCTGCGACAGTCTTTGAGCTCCTAATGCAGCTCGCTGGGTCCTGACCTCCGCCCTGTGAGGCACGCAAGATGGTTCCAGATCGACTTTTTCTAGATTTGGTCCCCATGGCCTTTAGCTCAAAATCGAATGTGCTCTTTCCAATCCACATTTCACTTTCAGGGTTTGGAGTGTGGGTAAAAAGGCTTCTAGTTTGCATGGAGCTGTTCTTCGTTGGGAGGTTGTAGCAATTTGTATGAGCATCTGCTAGGCCAAGAACTTCCATTTTCTTGTTTATTAACACCCTTGGGTTGTTCCTACTGAAAATCTTTAAGGGAAGGGGGACTGACTCTTACCCTTCCTCAAGATTCAAGGACTAGATCTGCACCCTGTGTTAAGTTATAATCTGATGTGCTTGTTTATAGCTTGGAAAGTGTGAATGCAACCATGCCGATGGGAAATAATAGTTTATGGCTTAGTGTGTTGTGTGAAGTCTATTGCAGTTTATTCAGTAAACCTTGAATAAGCAAGTGATGGCTTAACATAATGCATGTACCCAAAATTTAGCATCACTATATGAAAGAGCACAAGGGTAGGAAGGCTGAACCTATTTTACTGGATTTTTACAGATTTTTATGACATCCAATTAGCTTGTCAAAAAATGTATTGAAAAACTATTGGTTCACAGAGTAGTATTTTAATAATTTTAGATCTGTGTTTAAGTATATTCTTAGTTGTGGTTCATTATGGATAAAAGCATTTCAGCTCTTTATTTTTTTTCCCATATTTTTAGCCTATTTCATATGCATTTCTGTGTACAAGTAGTCCTTGTTTAGTGACTGTCCCATTTAGCGATCATTCACAGTTACGACAGTGATGAAAACGTAACTGCAACCAGTCCTCACATTGATGACCTTTGCATGTCTGTAAAGCAAAGGAAAGCTGAAGGAAGATCATAAGCACAGTTTCACTTAGTGACCACTTCGCTTAATGACCAAGTTGCCGGTCCCAATTGTGGTCACTAAACAAGGACTACCTGTACTCATTTAGTAATGTCTTCCTTCTTCTCCTTTTAACCTTGCTTTGCATTTTATAGTGTTCGGTGTGAATTTATGCAAAATGCTGGTTAATGACCGAATAAAGGATTGGATTTGAACGTTAGCTTTCAACTCTCATCCCCCTCCTGCAGGAGTCAAGATCATCTTCCGGGTGGGCCTGGTGCTTCTGAAATACACTCTGGGTTCTTCCGAGAAGCTCAGATCCTGCCAAGGGCAATACGAGACAATGGAACGGCTGAGGGCCCTGAACCCCAAGATCATGCAAGAGACATTCCTTGTGCAGGAGGTAAAACCAGTGCAGCCGGGTTGCACTCTCTATCTTGCTGTATGTAAAGTCTCAGAAAAGCCGTAGAATTGGATGCTATAAAGCCCTTCATGGCTTAGTATCAAGTTATCATCAGGACCACGCTCTCCTATTAAAGTTGGCCCAACCCACTCAATCTTGCCGGAAAAAATTGCTAGTGGTTCCCCAGTTTGGGGAGATGGAAGGTGGATACAGGTTTGGCCTCAATGCTTTTCAGCTGCAGCACCGGCCCTCTGGAAGTCCCCCCCCCCCGTAGAAATTAGAGAGGGTCCCACTTTGGCTGTGTGTGGGGAGCAGATGAAAACAGCTCTTTCCGGGGGTATTTGGGACTTGATGCCAGGATTTCAGCTGATTTTATGTTTTAAGAAGGGCGTTTCAAAACATTTAATGCTGACTGTGGATATTTTAATGGTGGTTGTAAACTACCCAGAGTTCTATGTAAATGCAGCAGGGATGGAAAATGAAATGAAGTGAAATGAAATGAAATGGAAATTCTGTTTTCCCAGAGGGCGGCTTTTAGCAAGGCTGTTCTCTGTGGAACAGTCTTTCTGTATTAGGGTTGTCTTCTCAGCCCTGGCAGAAATATACACTGTACCATGTATTTAAGCTTTTTCAGGTTTTAAGGGATACATGTTATTCTTTAAGCCCCCAACCTAAACAAATGCAACCCCCCCCCACCAAATAACCCTAAGAATTGAACCTCTTTTAGTTCCCAGACAGGGCATAATTCTGCCCCGTGTGCCCCCTCTCCCACTGCTTTAAGCAAACGCTCACTTGAGGCTGAGCCATTCGGAGTGAGCAAGGTAGACTTAACCAGATGTGCACAATCCCTTCCCATGTTTTTTGTGCCTCTCAACACAACGGGCCAGAGCTCTGGATTTTAGTTCAGAATGTAAGCATCCTTCTTTCTCTGTGTGGTGGACCGAGACACTTTGGAAGCAAATGCCTCAAAACCAGGGGGTTATGATTGCACCACAGTGGCTACCCCCTTCATGTTTTTGACCAGCCCGGAAGACGCCCCTGGTTGGGATGGAGGCGGCAGGGAAGAGGCGCCCTTGTGCGTTATTTCTGCGTGGTTCTCCGTAGCCCCTTCAGAAGGCTTTGGGATCCAATGAAAGTGCCTGGGGTGTAGATAAGTCCTTGGAGAATGGGAAACTGGACCACTGTGGGGAGGCAGAAGGAAGCTTGGGGTGGGTGGATTTCCTTCTCACCATTATTCATATCCTGGCATCCGTCCTTCTGGGGTCTGTCCAGGTTTTGGGAAACATCTGGATGCCCACCTATTTTTCTTTTTGTTCCTCCCAGATCATAGACTTGCCAGTGACAGAGCGTCACATAGAGCGGGAACACCTGATCCAGCTGAAGAAATGGAAGGAGACCCATGGGGAACTGCAGTGCAAGTCCCCTCCCCGCTTCCACGGCGCCAAGGCTATCCGGGACTCGGAGCCGTACTCCTGCAAAGCCTTGGAGCCCTCACCCTCTATCATTCTGCCCCCCGGTGCTGCCCTCTCCCCCAAGGGCCGCAAGAGCAAGCCGCGGAGAGGGGCCCACAAAGGGCCACTCGTCACGGGCAAACAAGCCAACGGTCCTGTCCCTGAAGAAAACGGATCTCAGACTCTGCTGGAGCCCGACTCCTCCCTTCTCCACCAGTCCAAGGAGAGCCTCAGCTCCCGGGAGAGTGAGGACACATACCTCTAAACGCGGGGGCTGCATTTTCCAGACCACCCCCCGACCAGACCTCAGACCAGACTGTACCAGTGACTCCCTTGGTAGGAAAATGGTAGCTGGGATTGTAAGGAGGGAGAGAGAGATTTGTGGGGGGGTAAGCGGGTAAGTATCATGCCTCCCAGTGGCTGAAGGAAGGAGTCCCATATGCCTTTGGCACCCCTGGTTGGAAGGACTAATGCCAAGAGGGCTCCTGCTGTCCTCTGCTAGGGGGTGGGGGAGGTGTTTCTGAGGCTGGCAGGCAGTGGGGCGGCCCTCCTTGCTCTTGGGGAAGGTTTGATTGGCAGGAGCCCTACAGGTATAGAAACATGGGAGAGGGAAGTGGCTCCATGCCACTGCTAAACTGCAGGCATGGTTTGGCTCAGCCTAACACCCCGGCACTTTTCCTGATAGGAGTAAATGAAGGTCATCCTCTTAACTCTGACCCTGCCCTCCTCTCCCTCGGTGGACCGAAGTGCAGACACTCCTTGATTTCTTGGCAAGAAGGGCTAGTGCCCATCTTTCATGCGTGCAATTGCCTTTGCTTTCAAGTCTTACATTCCAGTCTTGATCAGAGAAGCAGCCGGACTTCTCTCTCAGATGCTACCTCTCTTGACCCTTCTCTAAAGCCGCTGACCTCCAGAAGTGTTTAGGCTACCACCGGCCCTGTCACACCAAGCCTATGATGGGAGTTGTAAGGCCACCTGGAGGTTCTCTGGGGAAGGATGCCCGAGGCACCCGTTTCTCCTGCCGAGGTTCTCCAGATGAATGATCATGTGTCCCACTGGGCACCTTAAGTGGAGTGAACGGTGTTAGATTGGGACACTAATTCCATGTGTCCTGTCTTATGCATAGGAACAACTGTATTTGGCTGTTGTGTTTCTTCCTCTTACCTGCATGGCCCCCCATGACCCATTTCCTCTAGCAGAAGAGGAGTCCAAGACATTCATGTTTCTACTCCTGCTGATAAAAGTCAGAGAGTTAAAAGGAAATGCTGTCCAGCTAGCCTCGCTGTCTTGACCAAATTCCCACATGCTGTACATCCCAGAAATGCTGAATCCCCCCCCCCCCCCCGCAATTCTGGACCAGAAGGAACTCTGGCAGAAATCTGACGCTTGTCTTCCTTGCAAGTGGTTTGGATTCCAGCCGGTCGTCTTGCATTCCAGTGCTGTGATTTTCTTTTTAAAGAGCACTCTGTTTCCAGGACACTAAAATCCCCCCCCTTTTTTTGCCCATCTTTAGCAAAGCAGCCACAAGTTGAGTCGAGTCTTGTTTTTGCCAGCATCGACAAAGTTAAAGCTGAGCTGCTCTGATTATGTGAAGGTATGGGTTCAGACACGCAAAATACTATCCCCCTATCCAATTTTTGTAGTCTGTTGCCGGCCGGGCTTCAGCCTTTTGTATTTCCAAGGAACAGTAAACTGACACTCTCATCCTTGCACGAAGCCAAGTTGGGGGGGGGAGAAGCTTCTGTGGTTTATTAAGGAGGTGCAAGAAGAGATTTCCCCCCCTGCCCCCCCTTTTGTGGCATAAACTTGGTTTGTTGGGGGAGGCACAAAGTAACACTTGCCGTTGTCTTTTCTGTTGGCAAAAATAGAAGTGTGTATTTGGGGAAGGGTACGGGGGGGGCTGTTCTCTCTTTCCTCCTCCTGTGCCAGATTATGGCCGACGGTGGGTTCTGTCGATGTGGATTTTTTAAAAAAAATCAATTGCTGAAATTGTTTTGTACAAGAGGCGAAATAAACCTGAATTATGTAAATGCTGTGTGCGATTGGACTGGGTCGCCGTAGAGGAAAAGAAAAGGTGAGGCTGGGTTTTGTTAGGAGGAAAGCTGTGCTGATTTCTGGTAGCCAAAATCGGGAGGGATCCGGTAGCCCCTTTTCAGACTGACAGATGTTATTAAAAGGCATTAAGGTTTTGCGAGCTGCAGCTCGCCTCGTCAGATGCAATTCAGGATCTCAAAGGAGCCGTCTTGGAAAAAAGAAACTTTGCAACACAACTGAGCAAAGACAAATGGCTGAATTCACATATATCTGAAGTTCAGCAACAAACACAGTGGGTCTCAACAAACACAGCGAGTTTTAATACATGCCAGTTCTGAATTGATACGCTATTTGTAATCTGTCTCATTTCAACCTTCATCTGCATAACCAACCTGTCTCCCTCTCTCTTCCCCCCGATTCACCCCAATTTAAATCCTACATCAGTCCAGCCACTCCACGCATTTGATGCAATGAGCTGCAACTCACAAAAGCTTCTGCCTTTTAATAACGTTTGTAAGTCAGAAAAGGAGCCACCAGATCCCGGATTTTGACTGGGGTTGGTAATCCTCCTCCAACCCCTTTCATTCCCTGGAAGGTCAATGGGCAGATGGAAGTTTCTCCATCCAGGGGGGTTTCAGATGATGCTGTCCGATGATCTTGTAGGGCAGAAGTCTTGCCCTAGACGAGGACCTGTATTAATAGTTTCCAGTATGAATATACCAGGAACAAAAAATTCAGGTTCCCCCTAAACCAGTGTTTCTCAACCTTGGCAGCCTGAAGATGGGTGGACTTCAACTCCCAGAATTCTCCAGCCAGCATGTGGTTAGCCAGTGGATCTTATACAGATATGATCCATTGCCTAACCACAGAGTAGCCAGATGCAGCTCACTGAGAAATAAGCCTGCTTAGGAACCACAGTCTGGTGCAATGTTTCCCAACTTTAAGATGTATGGACTTCAACTCCCAGAATCCCACAGTCAGCACTGGCTAGGGGATTCTGGGAGTTGGAGTCCACACATCTTAAAAGTTAGCAAGGTTGGGAAACAATGGTCTAGCGATCACCGGAGAATGTCTGGCAAATTGAAGTGGGTCTCGAGGAATGGGTTAGACAGAAAACTAAGAAGCAGCTGCAACTTATTATTTCTGTCCTGTTCTTGCACTATTAAGTATCCAAGTCTTCCCAAAGGTTTTCCAGGGGAAAAACCTGAAAAGGGTTTAGGGCAGTGCTTCTCAACCTTGGCCACTTGAAGATGGGTGGACTTCAACTCCCAGAATTCCCCAGCCAGCCATGCTAGGAAACTTTAA